ATGATTTTTCAGCCAATATAGTACTATTTCAGAATCGCTCCAAAATATAACCTTTTCTGCATATGGCAACAATATAGGTGCAACAGATTTCCACAATTTGGCCAACAAGTGGACAGCACATAGTTCTAGTCTTGGGAGGGTTTTTGTTTTAAGTGGAGCGACTTTAGACTTTGCTGTTAACAATTTAGTAACGATTATTTTATTTTGCTCGCTCCGTATATATAAACAACAGCCGTATGCTCGCATAGAGGCATCGGCAAATCCATGTATTTGTATTTTGGACGACGGCGAAATATTTACGAAACGAGGAACTTTTACCTCTCCTAATTTTTTAAAATTTTCTTTAAATATTTGCCAAGTTGTGTCCAACGAAATGGGAATCGATTCATCCCAATCTACTTTTAGCAACCAGAGCTCTTGTAAAATAATTTTGGCTTTTGTAATTACTGGACACAAAATACCCAATGGGTCGAATAATCGGGATGAAATTGACAATATATTGCGCTTTGTGGCTTTCACGTTTTCGAAATCTTCCACCAGATTAAATGAAAGTGTATCATTCTTTGAATGCCAGACCAAGCCCAATGTTTTTGTGGCTTCCTGCTATTGAAATTAGAGGACCTTTCAACTGTTTCGTCGTTTTCGAAGTATTTATGGTTCGAATACCATTTTGCCGACTCGAAACCAGCCATTTTTAAAACTTTCACGTCTTCTTCTTTTATATCTTTTAACTCCGCTAAAGTTTCAGCGCCAGATAGTAGATCATCCACATAAAAATCTTCTTGGATTACCCTCGAACCAGTTGGAAAAGTCCTTTTATTTAAAACGCCGATTTCTTTTAAACACCTTGTTGCCAAAAATGGTGCTGGAGACGTACCATACGTTACAGTATTTAATTTATATGTGCGTATTGGCATGTCTTGGTTTTCACGCCACAAAACGAGCTAAAATGATCGGCCCGCCTCGCTTACTTGTACCTGTCTGTACATTTTCGTAATATCAGCCGTTATAGGGTTTTTACGACAACGGACCCGAAGCAAAGTCATAAACAAATCTGGTTGAATGGTAGGACCGACCATTATGTGTCATTTAATGAGAGTTGGGAGGAAGTTTTACTGGAAGCGTCAAATACCACTCTAAGTTTAGTTGTTAGGCTGTCTGGTCTTACTATGACCTGGTGGGGTATGAAATAATGAGGGCCGGTAGGAATTACATATTTTGTGGGCGACATATGGCCAAGCGACAAATATTCCGTCATAAATTCCATATACCTTTCTTGTATCTTAGGAGTTCGCACTAACCGCCGTTCAAGCGCCAAAAATCGTCTTTTCGCTATTTCGTGTGACGAACCAAGTGAAGACGCGGGAACTTTGAATGGCAAAGGAACTTCAAACCGACCAATTTCCAATAGCTTAGTATTGGCGACAAAATGTTTTTCACAATCATTCTGCTCTTGCGCAAAATTACGGCTTTGGCTTGGGATTTCCTCTATTTCCCAGAACTTGCGCAAAAATGATTCAATACTTGTCATTTCCATATTGCTTCGATTTATTAAATTGCACACAGCTGATTGACCGTTTTCGACATTTATATATCTCCCAGAAACTATCCATCCAAACAACGTTTTTTGTAGTGTTGGCAAAGTACTATCCAGTTTAATTTGACCAACCGATAGCAATTCGAAAAATATGTCAGCGCCTATCAATAAATCAATCTTTTGGCTTTTATTAAAATGTGGATCTGCCAACTCAATATTATCCGGAACTTGCCATGACTCAACTGGTAAATTTATCTCAGGTTGAGAGCTTGAAATTGACTTTAGAACCCAAAAGTCGGCTTGGAACGAATAATCGTTAAGTCGTGATTGAACTGTGGCGTTTACCACATGCCTAACGCTCGAATTCACCTCACCAATGCCGAGCACACTTAAATCTTTGGACCGTCGGTTGAGTTTTAATTTATTTGCGCATTCGTCGCTTATAAAATTCACTTGAGATCCCGAATCTAATAGAGCTCTTACATGATGACTATTTCCGAAGCGATCATTAATCTTTACCAATGCAGTTGCCAAAATAACTACATCACAAGTGCTGGAAACAAGGAACCAAGAACGATTGTTTGATTGTTGTGAAGAAGAGACAGTCGCAGCAGAATTCGAAGATTCAAGCGAATGTGTACCTGACGATGCAGGTTCATATTTGTGCAAAAGTGTATTATGAGGTCGCTTACAAACACGACAATGAGGGCGAGTACAATTACGCACTGTATGCCCTTTCTTTAAACAATTAATACAGCTTCCCCCCTTCTTCACAAACTCAAACCGTTTATCAATTGGTAGAGCGGCAAAATCATTGCATGTGTAAATATAGTGGCCATTTGAACTACAATACGAGCATTTCGAATTCTTTCCAGCCTGAGTGCAAGCGAATGATGTCTTATGATCGTTTTTCTTAATTCTATTTTGATATGTGCTGGACTGGGAATTTTCAACCTTGCTGGACCTATCGTCATTGACTTCCAGCGAGTGGAATAATCTAGCTGGTCGTTCTATTTTGCTTTGGAAGCTGAATCAACTTTAGATAGCACCAAATGAATTATTAAAGCATTTGTGATATCGGTTTCACTGTCAATTGACTGTAGGGAATCATAGATTGCTGATACTGTGTCAACTGCATTTCTTCACGCTGCAGCATTGGGCTTATAGATCTTCGGAATTTCGCATAACCGCTCTATATTATCGAAAAATATCAAACATTTTTTATCATACCTTTCCGCTAAACGGTTTAATGCCTTCGCATAGTTTTCTTCATTAACCTGGAAAGCTTTAACTGTATGAAGGGCATCACCTGATAAACAATTTAAAAGGTGGTTGAATTTTTCAATAGGCGAGAGAATAGGTTCATCGTTTATCAAATTATTAAATGAGCTAATAAAATTTTTATATTCAGCATATTTACCGTCAAAGTTAGGCAACTTTAAATTAGGCAAACGCGAAGATTGAGGCATCATTGTGGAAACTCGAATTATTCTTGTGACTCCAGTTTGTTTTTTTTAACTCACTGCCAAAATTGAGCCGCTACACAACAACGCTCAAATAATTAACAAGAGTTATTTTCTTGACAGCGTACGAAGCCAGGAGCAAATTAAACGACGACGAAGGCGACTGCATACGATGTATAATAAAAAAACTCAAATTATTCTTGTAACTCATCTCCTTTGTTTTGAGTAATTTCTTGTTACTGTTGAGCGCTTCTACAGTAGTGCAAAACAATCGCTTTGTTCTGCGCTATTTAAAATGCAAACTTCATAGCGGAATTTATATACTTATGCATGTACATAACTACTGCATATGTATTTAAACAACGGAGCACAGAATTTCAATTATTACGGTATAATAATTTGTTGAAATAGATATTCAAATGGCGCAATATGTATGTTTGAATGTGCAAAACATGTTTGGATGTAAATTTTATGTAATTTTAGAGATTATTATTATTTTTTTTTTTTGTATGCCAATTTAAATGTTTTTTTTTGTTCACTAGACAAACTTTTTTACAGTACCTCAACAGTTTTGGAGACCGATACGCTTCTAGTAGGTGCCATTTGGTGCGTCTTCCAGTTGCTGCGTTTTCCCTGGTTGAATCTATGCCCTTGTGTCTTTGTCCAATTCCGCTTTTTTGTCCGCTAATTTTGGTAGCTGCTTAACTTTGCGTTCCAACGATGGAAGTTTAATGTTCCAACGACGAGATTTTGAGCAAAAGAATCTTTTGAACCACACACACCAGCCGCACAATAATTTATTTTAACTTTTTTTTTTACTTTAACAAGCTCGCGATGTTAGCAATGAGTAACAGCTGGTAGAGTTTACTCAGGTTATTCCGAGCATATACAATTCAAAATACATTTCAAATATTTAGGAAAAGTGAACTTAAGTGATAATAAAATAACAATGGCGCGTATTCATAGTCCAGCAACTAAGTCGAAACTAACAAAGTTGCAACTTAAATTTAAGTACCAACTTAAAATTTACCTCTATTCATAGTCGCATTTCAGACTTCTATTAAGTAGTTTCGACTTAGTTTACGATATAGCAAAACGAGTGTGAAAATGTATCGATTTTTCTTTACGATATTTTGGAAAAATTACATTTTTATTAAATAATATCAAGTTTGATCATCTGTTTATGTAATTTTTATTTTCATTGCCTGATTATGCAAAAGAATAAGGTATCATTTTCTTGTTAATTGTGTGAAATAGCCAGAACCGCAGTGATGTGAAGTCGATGTTTATCGAAAGCATGCTGTGAAACATACAAATAGTAGATATCTAAATGTTATGCACAATTTTACTTTAAAAGAACTAGCGTGAAACTGACTTATTATTTGAAAATTTATCTAAATTATTCAATTATAAAATTGTGATGTAGCTTTATTCGAATTTTAATACGCATTTAATTTCATCTTCCGATTAAAATGGATCGCTCTTTGTAAGTTTTAATTGGAGATTATCCAATATTATCAAAATCACCCTCTACCAACTTAATTTTTACATATTTCGTCTGTTTTCCCTTAATTTGATAAAATACTTCTTCCTAGTTACGACTTAGTTGCAGCTGCAGCCGAAACTAAATTTTAAGTTGGTACTTAGCCAGAAAAGTCGAAACTAAGGCGACTATGAATAGCTTAAGTTGTGACTTAGAATAGTTTCGACTTAGTTGAGTACTAAATTCAAGTAAAGAAGAGTTAATTCAACATGACACCACATTTGCTCGTCTAGTTTTAATCAAAATCTCTACAAATTTGTGTAAGCTGTGAATTTCGACGCTCAATATGGATGGCCTCTGTGGCAAGTGTGACAAGGTTTTTGCGCGAGGAGATACTTGTATCGTGCCCTGCAGTGGATTTTGCAAGAAGTGCTTCCATCGTGCGTGCTGTGAAGGCCAAATTTCGGAATACGATATTGGTTTGCTCATCTCGAACCGCCACATTCGCTATTTCTGTTCGGAATGCATACTCATGCCAGCTACATTAAGCAAGACTCTTGACCTAATATCGTCGACACATAAACATGGGTTGGAGTCCATTAAAAGTGACTTTGAGACAAAATTCAAATCTTTACATGAGCAACTCAACGTAGTCAAAAATCAATTTGAATCCATAAGCAAACAAATTTTCAATGACAACAACAACAACATTGCGAAAGTGCTAAGTGAAATTAATATCCTAAAAGTGGCTGTTGCTAAAACAGCAAACTACAATGTAAATTATTCTAAAAAGAAGTCGAATAGCCGCCCGCCTGCTGTTCAGAATACTTTTGTTGCGCCTGATGATGGCAATTATACCGCTATTACTGAAATGACTTTTACCGGCTCTTCACCATCCTCTTTAACATCATCTTCGCACTCAGTTAGTGGTGCTAAGCATATCAACAATAACAATAGCGCATCAGTGAATGCTTTGCCTACTGTTGGTGATGCTGCTAGTGGTGCAAAGCACAATAACAATAAAACTCATTGCTTGCCTGTGGCCCGCAATGTGTCAGTGAATGCTTCTTTGCCTATTGCTGCTGATGTTGGGTTTTTAAATTCATGCGATCCTGCTGCTTCGTCTGGTTCGCTCATATCGCCGCTGCCTTCAAACGCTGTCACACAGTTTTCTACGGTTCCTACTTTGCCTATTCAATTTTTGCCTACTGCCAGTGATGCTAATTCTAATGCTATGCTCAATAATACTGAAACTCGTTGCTTGCCTGTAGCCCGTATTGTTTCAGTTAATGCTTCGTTGCCTAATGCTGGTGATGCTGTGTTTTCAAATTCATGCGATCCTGTTCCTACGTCTGGTTTGCTCACATCGCCGCTGCCTTCAAACGCTGTTACACAGCATTCTACGGATGGTGCTGAAAAGTATGAGTGGAATACGGAACGCAACAAGAAATCAAATAGATATAAAAATATTGTTGTGGGCAGTAATACTAACTGCGACCTCGACGTTGTAATTAAAAAGAAGTGGTTACACATCTCTTCGTTCAAACCATCCGTGACTGAAGATAAAATAATTTCATATGTTGCTAATCAGTCAGGCGTTGACAGTCAACACCTGGCTTGCTACAAGCTGGTTAAAAAGGGTGCTTCTGTCGATAGTTTGCGTAGCCTTAACTTTAAATTTGGCGTTTCACCAGCATTCTACAACCAAATTGCGAATCCAGCGGTCTGGCCGACTAACACAAAAGTAAGACCGTTCCGCTTTTTTCAAAAACTGGACAACTCGGAAGCGAACCACTAGCCCAAATCGCAGCTGCAATGATAATAATCTGAAAATCTACTACCAAAATATATCTGGTATTCGAACTAAATGTGCAAAGGTTCGCATGTTAACTGCTCATTTGGAATATGACGTATACGTTTTTGTGGAATCATGGCTTAACGACAGCTTTTTTGATTGCGAAATCTTTGATTCTGACCTTTTCGACATTTTTCGCAAAGACCGTGATGCTGAGAAGACGGAATGTTCTAGAGGCGGTGGTGTTCTCATAGCGGCTCAACGGAGATTCAAAGCTTCACAAGTAACGCTCACCAATTCTGACTCGCTCCTTGATCAGCTTTGCGTCTGTATTCACAGCTCCTCCGGCGATATCCTTTACATATGTGCGTCATACATCCCGCCGAATAGCTCTGAAAGCCTTTACGTTGCACATGCTGATAACATCGTATCATTGGCGTCTGATGTCGTTGGTAATAATCACATTTGTGTTCTTGGTGATTTCAACTTAAGCCGGCTGAACTGGACTCCAAGTGGAGATTCTGCTGCTCTTATAGCTGCAAACGTGAGCTCTCCAACAGAAATTTATATCTTTGATAGCTTTTCAAGTATTGGATTACAGCAAGTTAACTGTATTTATAACCAACTAAATAGACTATTGGATCTTGCTTTTATCAGTGACAATGTAAACTTCACGTTATCGGAATGTATGTCTCCCATCTCTCCGGCTATAATGCATCATGTGCCTCTCGCTCTTGAGCTGGAGTTTTATAACTTTGATTCAGTGCCGGAAGATCGCAGTATTAATTTTAACTATAAATCGTGTGATTTTTCTTCCTTAAATGATGCCCTATCAGATATAGATTGGAGTTATACTTTCCGTGGCAGTGATGTAACCTCTTGTTACCGTATTTTTAAGACCACCCTCTATGAGTTATGCCTACAGTACATCCCTATTCTTAAGAAGAAGGTGTACAAACTACCGTGGTACACGAAGCGTTTAAAGCATCTAAAAAATTTAAAAAACAAATTTAGCAAATTGTATAAATCCTCAAACGACTCCGCGCATCTTCTTAAGTTCCGGTACTTTCTAAAAGAATTTAATTGTTTGAACAAATTTTTATACCGAAATTATATTTTAAACTTTGAAGCTAATATTATCTCGAATCCCAAATCTTTCTGGCGTTTCATTGATTCCCGAAAATCTTGCTCATCAATTCCAACAAATGTTTTCTACAATGGTCGCTCCGCAAATTCAGCCTCTGACTCGGCAAACCTATTCGCTGAGTTTTTTTGCGCTAACTTTGTCAATGACATGGACTCGAATATAACGGGCTCTAGCTCTTCTAGTGACTCTTCGCTGAATTTTGGTTCGCTAACCATTTCAACCGAGGACGTTATCAAAGGAATTGGTGATCTTAAGCCATCTTCACAAGGCGATGTAGAGGGTTTCTCGGCTTTTCTGTTGAAAAACTGTCTATGTTTAGCTGAGCCTCTTACTGCAATCTTCAATCACTCTCTGGCCTCGGGCATATTTGTGGACGACTGGAAACAAACGTCTGTAACCCCTATCTTTAAAAGTGGGAACAAAAATGATGTCCGCAACTACAGACCGATATCAAAGCTATCTTCAGTCTCCAAATTATTTGAGATTGTTGTAAGCTGTAAACTGTCTTTTGCTGTTAAAAACCTAATTTCTACTAATCACATGGGTTCGTCGCTAACCGCTCAACAGTCACAAACTTGGCTATT